AGGGCAGAAAGTGATTTGGAATCCACTTACATAAGATAAGTTAAAATATGCAATAAGCCTGTGGCATGACAAGTCTTAACGATGCACAAATTGATGCAAAGTTAGGCATAATACGGAATGGTTCTCTTCCCATTAAAACATGCCCATTAGCTTCAGATAATTGGAATAGGACAATGTTCACAAGCACCGAGGCGAAATGACTTAGTCAATTGAACTTCGCTGACACTTCAGAATTGTGGGTCCTGACAAAAGGCTGCAGTAAATATTGGGTGTTTAAAGTTTCTTATCAATTGGAGGCGGGGATCCGATTCCAACACCGTTGTCAGGGTGGTTGGAATGACTGCTGGAACTACAATAGTACTCTTATTGTCAAATCTCTTGCTTGACACATTCGACTTACTATGCTCAATGCTAAACTATGCCCAGATAGGACCTTCTTCCGACAAAGCCTAAAAGGGCCTATAATGAAACAATAATAAAATCTTAAAACACACTAATTATTTTTTTAGGGTTTCCCAGTCAAACACAAAAATCGTAATTAGTGGAAACAGGAAAAAAATGATGTGATACATCCTGACAAATTCTCTATTTTTTCATCGCTATTTAAATTTTGCTTAGTAGGTCCTCTCGATAGAAATTTGAAGGATTTACATAAAACTTAAAGTCCAAGCAACAGTTTGTCCTCCTTCGTAATGATATATGTCGTGGAAATGAATACATTTGTCACCATGCTTTAAGCTTATCAATCATTCAGTAAATTGGGAGATAAATCAATGAAAAAAAAAATAACATTTCCCGTGAGACCCAGTGGATTGATGACTCCTACCTAATTTTTGCAGATAATGGACTTCAGAAATTTTATGTGTAGAAGATCAGACTTACAAAGCCGTCATGCATGGAGAAGAGAAGAGACTCTTCCGTGCTGTCCATAACCATGAGGGCACGTGGGCACCAAGCGTCAGCAGTAACAGTGGACATTAGCCTTGGTGAGTGATTAGGGGGTGTGGTGCAACTATTGCTGCGCATTTCTGGCATCTGCCCGCCAAGTATCATGATAGCTGCTGCTGCAGCTGGACACAACGTTTGGAGGAGTTGGAGACGATCGTAGGAACAGAGGCAAAGTGGAGGAAACGAAATAGCCTCCTCCTCTTCACCACCGAGTGGGGAACGAGCAACTTGTTTCCAGACCTCGCTGACATTTGCAACGCTGTGGCACACAAACACATTATGGAAGCATACCACTGCAGTCTTCCAAATGTCACAAGCCTCGAGTTTCAAATTCCAGGCACAACTGTGACATGTGAGGGTAATGCAATTGCAGTTTACTAAATAAGTTGTCACAGTAGGGAGTAAAGTTTAATCATGTAAACACTTCACCGCAAAAAATTCATGTCATCATACGAGATGAATTTATGATTGTGGATGATACGTCAATCCACTGGAAGGGCGTCAATAGGAGTGTTTTTGTTGCAGCAATGGAAAGCGGTGGTACTTATCCTAAAAGATTTGGCGTTAAGTCATTGCAGCACTGACGAAGAGAGTGTGCTTTAGACAGCAGCATTGTAAGTTGCTTAAACTGAGAATGTAATCCCAGTATGCACTATAAGCTGACAGCTCTAAAATGCTTGTCTCATTAGCGTGCATAGTCAGGGCCCAACTCCGGAACTTCAAACAAGCGTGTTGGCCTGACCACCAACATCGTATGGTGTATAGTGGGTGTTATGATTTGCGGTTTGGGCATGAGTTCAAGTGTTTTGTGGATCCATTCCGATATACAATGCACAACTCCCCCGTTTTAGGACACACAAAGTTAGGATGCCTAATAGAGAACATAAAGTAACTGGTAAAGTTTTTGTTTTACTAGGTCATCAGGCAACGTCTGAAGGCATTATTTAAGAGAGAAGGAATGACCCGACGCATGGTTACATTGTTCACTTGTGCGCACAGTAATAACAAATTCTCATGTGCTGCATTTTTATTTCCTCCACTGAGAAAAAAAGCATGAATAAGGAGCAATCTTCCATACACCTAGAAATTCAATGGAGAAAAAGATTTCCTCTGAGGAGGTGTCTTAACCACCTGGATATATGTAGGAAAAGATCTACGAATTAAAAAAAAAGACTATCAATCTTTTCCCTTAACCAAACAAAAGCAGCTTAAGTGGACTTGAACTGTTTGTACCGATAATTCAGGACATACAAATGCTGTGGGCTTTCCAGCAGCTGTGCAGGCGTCCCCGGTGTAGCTGATAACTCATTTGTGATTGCACATGGCAGGATTTCGCCACGCTTTTCTGAACTCCTCTAAAAGTAGAAATGGAAACCAAAGGTGCGTTACTTGTCAAATCAATGTCCTAATTCCGTTAATAGAATGGATGAACCGAATTTATGTAGACGAGCTTAAATTCCTCTGTTTAGAATTGCCATAACTTAACGTCCCCAAAGGTGGGATAATTGAATCAATTAAATTAAAAACTGATCGATACTACTTTATGAAATATTTTAGCTAATTTACTGATTATAATTCGTATGACTAGCTTCCTTTGATCAACTTGATGTGATTTATTAAAACACGGTTAAAACAAACTTTGTTTTATTGTCCAGATAAGCTGCGTTTACTTGAAAAATACGCCAATTGAGATGGTATTCTGAGAAAAAATGAGTCTCCTGTTTTTGGGATACAGAAAGAGTAGAAGCAGCATAG